TTTAGCTCGAGGTCATTGTCCCTCGTTTACACCGCTTCCGAGTTCCTTACATGCAGGGAACATGTATTCGATTGAATCGATTCGGCACAAGCATGGCGGTACAACAGCTTTCGATACGGGAATGATGGGCGCACTGAGTACCCTTAAACTGACACCATGCCCTGCTGAGGCAACCAGACTGACACTATGCACAGTTGAGCCAACCAGACTGACTGACACTGTTGCAAACAAACGAGATTTGACTATGGCAAACAATATGGACCTCGTAGCTTTCAGTCGAATGTTATTGCCGCTATGAAACATTAGCAATTCGCCAGTCTATGAAACTCTGCCGTTACCAAACCGATATTAAAATAAACAACGAGAGAGCAGTGCGACTAAATCATTTTCGATGTGTATAAATTTACGAACCCTCTATTTCACACATATCAGCCAGAAACACAAGAGGGCATTTGTTAAAAGGGTGGGTTGCTGTCACTGGTGCACATGTCAGCAGCAGTCCACGCTATTCCAATACATTTTGTATGCATTTGACCTAAAGACAAACGTGGGTGGCAAGCCAGCTACGTTTGAACATACGATTTAAGAGGCTGTTCAAAAAAGCCAAACAACGCCAAGCGGACCTAAACCTGGACCGCTGGAGGCAACAGCCTAACCAAGCAACATACTTGGGTGGACAACTAAGAAGCAACCAGGTCTTTAAACACAACCACAGCTGACGCGAAGCCAAGAAATTCTTAAAGGAGCGTTCGACACTTGTATGGGCTATGAACTGAAATAGCCGTCTTGAAGATCACTCGGTGCAATTCACAGCCCTGCTCCTCTAAAGACGCAGACCCCTCTAGTTCCCGAGGATATTGACGCCAAAATGGTGTCATTTAAATCCTGTTGTTTCAGTGGCCATGTGGCAATCAAGGCCTAGAAAAATGCATTTATCGAGTTTTTCATGTCTGATGTTCGTCGGCACAATTTCTAGATATAACGGCCGTGGATTGGCTCTCAATACTGTGCAAAACACGATGACGTAATCAAACAATGACGCGTTTGACGACCGTTGAGGAGCAGATTAACGAAGCAAAAAACTTGTGTTGTTTAGAGCAGTCTTTTCCACTCTGAAGCATACAAATGGCTTAGTTCAGCTTAGTTCATGGCTTAGTTATTGTGTTGTCTGGAGCAGTCTTTTCCACTCTGAAGCATACCAATGGCTTAGTTCATTTCACATGGTGCTTGCTTCAGTATCTTCAAATACAGAGCACTCCATAACTTTTTGGGAGAAGCCAGAACAACATTCAAGTGTCTGCAATAGAATGCGCCCATTACAGCTGCTAAGCGTGAAAGTCTGGAATTCTTAAATTCTCGTGTCTCACACAACTCCTTCTGATATGATACGCATCCAACAAATTGAAATGAGTAGCAGCATTGATATTATAACTAATCTTCCAATTATACAACAAATCACTTAGGTCAGGCTTATTTCCCAACTCTTGGAAAAACAGCATTGTTTCTCTGGTCTATGAAGTCGAAGGTTCAGCTTTGACACCAAACATTTATTCTCTTATCAGTTTGGTTCCGTACCTTGGGGGAAACGATCTTGTCTAAACGTACCTTTTATTATATTAATGCAAATCAACGGAGAGAAACAGAGTGGACAAGGACCCAACGACCCACACACGATACCTGTCCCAAATGAGGTGTCCGCCACACATCTGTGGATCCCTGGACGACAGATGTGACCGCACGACTACACGCCATATTTCCAAGTGTTTTGACATGAAATGACCCGTGGGGCTTTTGGCAAAGGGTGAACACGAAGATAAAATTCTTGGCCGACTTGTTGACGGCTTAAAGTGACGGACGACAAGAAAAAAATCAATGGAAATCAGTGTTGGAATTTTGGCATTTTGTCAGGGAATTCCACCGTGATGAATTTGTACTGCGGCTTTTAAACCCAAAAGAGTGAAGTCATACCGTCATGATACACACTACGCAAAGAAGTACCAGGCACATACACGTCACATTAATTTCTACCGTCCAACAAACCACTTCAACGGTTCTCTTGCCTTAGTCCACCCTTGATACCCAGACGTCCTGAACCACTCTCCCAATCGCATGACCACCCATTCGGGCCTCGTTTCGTTGTGTTCTCACCGCACAACAGAATGCACGCCACATGCGCGCCACCCTTGTCTACAATCGCTTCTCCGCGTGCCCGAGTCAGGCTGAAGTCGTCCCCGGGAGCATCGCCCAGAAGCCCTCCCAAATGTCCCCGCTATGGTTGAGAACTTACCGCATTTTTCGAGGTTGCCTCGCAGACGCTTCCACCCCCTGGGCTCTCCAAGGCGTGATTGGCTGTTGCATGATGTGGGGAGGCGTCGTCGTCAATGGATTGCCAGTCTATTCTGAAAAGCTGCTCACGGAAACAGAAAGTGGCCCATGGTGCTACGCATTAGCCCCGGATTCTTCATCTGAAATCGGGTATGGTAAGCAAGGAAGAGACGCGAGACCCATGCTGGCTGGTCGCTTCGTGACGCATGGGGCGAACGGAGACGATGGATTACAAACCGCGGGATGTTAGGCGAAAAGGTGGATTGGGAAGTGGTTGGTTGGCACACATGCTGGACTGGTGTTTTTCTGAACACTGAAAGTTTTTCTCGCACCTTAGTTTTTCTTGCACCTCTTGAAAGTTGTAAGAGGCGACAACTCAGCAATCATATTTGAACGTTGTCTTGTGGGTTATTTAGCTTTGGTTCCACTGACAATAAGGAGAGGGGCTGGAAACTAAGGTGGTAGAGCATAACATCTTTGAGGAAATTTCAGAAAAACTTGTTTTCTCAGTCCCTCACCTCCAAGGATAATATTTCCAAGGCTGTAACCAAGCCGTGACCAACCTGTGACGAGACATTAACTGCATAACGAATCCTTTTGAAACATTTAGTTGGGATGAGAATTGGAAGTTTTTCAATGCCTGTAGTATATGCAGTATATTCCAGGGTTGTTGAACTAAGTTTAGTCAAGGCATGTATTTGGAAAGCATGAACACAACAAAACACGCTTGACAAAGAAAACTGATTAAGGTAGTAAATGATAAACAATACATGAGGAATGATAGGTAAAGTGAATTTTGCAAAGAGACGTGTAAGCATGCACAAGTTACTCTTTGCCCGACTTCGTATATGCAAGTGAGGGCAAAATCCTCATTTCCGACCTGGTTGGGAAGAATTACTATCATAATTGTATTGATCTAATCCTGAATCCGCAATCAAATCTCCCACCTTTTTTGCTGCCACCGTTTCCAAGACACAGTCCCCTGACGCCAGGTGCCACATTCGGCTCTCTCCTCGTCCTCGGTCCTCTCCTCCTCCTCGTGAACCAACTAGTCAACCAGACAACGAACGACAGACTTGCTTATGCCGACGACACATCGCTCTGCTCTTCATATTCCAGTCTAGACGTACCGATCGTACCGATCGATCGTACTTTTTAACGGGACGTGGAAACCATTGATTCATGCGCCGCATAATGAACGATCATGTTTAAAGCGCTGAAGCCATGCAACAAATTTTTGTCCATAAAATTTGACTTAACCATCCGAGGCTCTCTTTCGCAGGCCAAGAAATACCTGTAGTTGACACACACGCACATCTAAGTCCTTACTTTCCAAAGATTTCCGACTCCATGTACATGTAAAGGCAGCTATCAAAATACATGTCGCACTTTAATCCACTGTATTGCACTTAAATGTCTACCCGATAGCCAGTAACACACCAAGAGACGTGCTCGATAAGGTTTACATTACCCACATAAAGTTACACTTTGACTGCTGCGACGTAATCTACAACGAATGCATCACAATTACGAGCGAATCGAGACCCCTTTGACTCCAAAACAGGCCTGTCAGACTAAAAACAGGGCGGAATTTCGGACACCGATAGAGGCATTACGATATGAAATAGACTGTGACACACTTAAACCAGACGGAACATAATGAAGTCATCATCTCTGAAAAGCTCTAAGCCGAATAATTTGTTTTCCTAGGCTACATTGTGTCAATCATTCACAGCAATAGAAAGAGAGAAACGAGCAGAACGCTATGGAATGGAAATACACAAACATACATCCTCCTAGTTCGAGGTAACAGAACGTCGTTTCTCCAACGATCCATGATCTCAAGTGTCATAAAACATTGGAATAATCTCCAAAACTTATCCACCAACAACTCTCATCCAAAGTCTTCAAAGAAGCCCTTGCACTGTGGATGGGTGCAGAAAGACCTCCATATTTCTACACCTTTATGTGCATGAAGTAGCCGATTACGAAGTTTAGACTTGGTGTGACACCTCTGAACACCCACCAGTGTCACATTCATAGAGCCAAAAGCCCACATTGCATCTGCGGACATAATTCAAAAGGCCAGCAGTTTGCATTCAAATGACCCCAACAACGTCAGTACGGAACAGAGCGAGTTACAAACTTAGCATCACTGAAGCACTCGAATTTGTAACCTCTTTGCACATCTAACCATCCGGTTATACACATCCACAGCACAGCTCTTTGCACATCTAACCATCCAGTTATACACATCCACAGCACAGCTCTTTGCACATCTAACCATCCAGTTATACACATTCACAACACAGCTCTTTGCACGTCTAACCATCCATTTATACACATCCACAGCACAGCTCTTTGCACATCAGGCCATCAAGCTATGCACATCCACAGCACAAGCCTTGGCAACAGCACTGGTCACGACGTTGATTCGATCTGTAAATGCTATCACACCGTCCTGTTATTCGCGCTACTGTGCCAAGAATCAAACATATACGTTATGATGATGATGATCACAAAACGCAGGCTGCTGTCCCTCCCGTGCCTCTGTCCTGAGAGATGCACGAAGGTACGGATGGCACCGCGTTTGGTCGTTTTTGCAGCGCGCCGATCTGGCAGTGACCCATCTGCTTCACCGTGCTGACCGTGCTGCCGTCCTGGACTACGTGGACATGGTGCCCATCTGGTGGGCCCGCCACGGCTTCTACATGCGAGCCGGCGAGAGAGACACCGCCGCCCTCTCTGGCGACATGTTCGCCTCGCTGCTGCGGCCACTACATCAGCACGTCTGGCTCATGCTCTGTGAGTCTTGCTCCGCTTCACCTGCACGTTTGGCTCATGCTCTGTGAGTCTTACGTCGCTTCACCGACTCGTCTGGCCCGTGTTCTGTGAGCCTCGCGCCGCTTCACCAGGGCGTCTGGCCCCTGCTCTGTGGATCCTCCCCGCGTTTGCCACGACTGTACCCGGGGCAGAAAGCCCTGCACCGCAGCCAGTGTGCCTTATGTGCTCGTCGTGCCCATGTATCGTCGCACGGCGCCCGTGCCCCGGCGGCCGGGACGCTGCAGCCCCCAAGGGGTCAACTTGCCCCATCTCAGCGAGAGTTTGCGTGCAGGGCCGCATCATTCTGGAGCGCCAGGTTTGCTGAGCGGCCGCCGGCGACAGTAGCGCGTGGTGCTGCCGCGCTGCAGTTCGATTGGTTTTGCTGTGGGGTGTGTGTTCGTTGGGAGCGTTTCGAGGCGGTCCTGCGTGATACTTTTACTGTTACATTACGTGATACTTTATAAGCTGCTAAAAGCATTTGCGAGGAACATTGTGCATACAGATAAGAGAGTACGAATAGCCTTATTCCTGGCATAATACCCAGAAAATGGGGATCTAGATTTAGTGATTTTTTGGCTACATGCCTTCACAAAATTGGATATCAACAGTAAATTCAATGTTGTCTGCCGACCCTACTCGAATACTCTAGTTAATCTCCCCGAAATAGTAAGGATAAGATACGACGAAACAAGCTCACTTATTACTATTGCCATCCTCTTTAACTCGAAAAGACTGCTCTAGACAGCACACTTGTCTTTCTAGTAAATATGCTTCTCAATGCGTCATGGTTTAATTACATCATCGTACCTTGCACAACACAAATTGAGAGTCAGTTGTCGACCGTTACACCTGTAAGTTGCACTCACGAACGTCAGATCTGAACGCCTCGACAATTGTATTTTTATTGGCCCTGATCACCGCATGACTTAGGGAATGTCAGGATTTGACTGACGCTATTATGACGTCAGGAATGCCAATGTGACTTTGAAATACTCTCCCCGATACACCTCTCTTCATTTTCGCTGGCGTACAGCTCAAAAACTAGGGGCTTAAATTGTAAGAGGGGCAGGATTGTGGATTGCACCGAAATATCTTCAAAATAGCTATTTCAGCTGAAAGCCCCATATCAATGTGGAACAGTCCCTTTGAAAACACACCAGTGGTTACAAGTGAGCTTACATAATCGAATACAATGCTTGTCTCAATGTCATGAAGTTTGAAGCCGTCTATTTAAGAGATGTAGGCTATGGTCGGAGCAGGAGGCACCATTTTCAAGTACTTTGCATGTTTATATGACTCACTCCTGTGACCTAGTCTGACCTGACCTCCCACAGTTCTCTCTTTGGTGGCGCTGGCCATCGTGCTCCTCACCTCAGTCCGCCTGAGCCGCGGACCCGCCGAGAGTGGACCGACCCGCCGCGAGTTCTCCTTCGGCTACAGCTGCCTCTCCGTCCTGATGACGGTGACCGGCCAGGGCTGGGCTGTTATCCCGGATTCCGGCTCGGCTCGAATAGTCACCTTCACCAGCTGGTTCATAGGTCAGTTGTCGCACTCTCCAGGGGAATCGTGGTCGGCCACACCCTCTCCAGCTGAATCATGGGACGGTCTTACCCTCTTCATCTGGCTTATAGGCCGATCGCACCGTCCTCAGCTAGTTGATAGGCCAATCACACCGTCCCCAGCTAGCTCATAGGCCAATTGCGCCGTCCCCAGCTAGCTCATAGGCCAATCGCATCGTCCTCAGCTAGCTCATAGGCCAATCACACCGTCCCCAGCTAGCTCATAGGCCAATCGCACCGTCCCCAGCTAGCTCATAGGCCAATCGCATCGTCCTCAGTTAGCTCATAGGCCCATCGCATCGTCCTCAGCTAGCTCATAGGCCAATCGCACCGTCCCCAGCTGGCTCACGAGCCATGTCATTGGTCGCTCTCGTTGTTCAGGGTCTGAGTGCCTTGCGCAACAGTCATTATAATCTTTACAGTGTAGAGTAGTGGACGTCCTGGCAGTTTGCTGACTTTACTGACTGGTCACTGATCTTGCCTAGTGTGCGCTGGCTCCCAGCGGTGCGACAGATGTCGGTGTTCGGCTTCAGGGTGTGCCTATCATCGTCATCCTAGATCATTACTGTTACTATGATATCACCTTGAAGGGGAAAGTCATTCAACAGCGTCAAAATTATTTTGGAGCCGACCAATTTGTTAAAATTTGATCTTAACATCAGGGACGACAATGAATGTGGCCGAAATATGGGAGCAAATGAGGATTTTGGAGTAGGCTAAGTCAAGTTTTCCCGCTGAGCCCCCCCCCCAAACCATTTTAGAAAGTGATACCACTGCGTCACGTGGTGATTGAGCAGGCCTGTTGATCACCTTCCACTACACGGCCAACATGATCTCGCATCTGACGGCGGTGCAGCCGGCGGCGCCCATCAGCAGTCTGGCAGAGTTCGCCAACAGCAACGACTGGACGCTGGCCGTAGAGGACGGTTTCGGTATCATCGGCTCCTGGGCGGTCAGTGCTGCCTGCGCCGGTGCTGGCTGGTAGCTAGCCTAGGCGTTGCACGAAACGCTGGCCTAGAATAGCACGGACCCGCGAGCCAACACCGGTCCCAGTGCCGCACTTCATGCAGCCCCGCGGTGGCTACTGCCCCAAGTCACGATCGCCGGCGCCGACGAAATACCAACACCAATGCCCCCTCGTCACGCATTGTTGACGCCCAACCATGGCCCTGTGTGCAGTCTACTTGCCCGTGTCTGTTGGACGCTTTCATGGACATGGGCCTGGCATTCATCTGTCGCGGGGCTGTGCCTGTCCGGACCTACCGCTATGTGCTCTGACCTGACCTGCACACGCCCTGTGCACCATCCTGACCAGCAGAAGAGTCCCGTGCCGGCCGAGCGTCACCTGTATGAGCGGATCGCCTCCGGGGAGCGGTTCCTCGGGCTGAACGCCACGCCGGAGGCGTTCCTCGCCGCCGTCCAGCCGCGCACCCTGCTCTACCACGACCAGGACCTCGTCATCACGGCTATCGGCGAGGAGGCGTGTCATCTTCTACCGCTGGTCGAGCCCGGCCGCAAAAGCAGACCGCAGGCTACTTACATGGTGTTGAGGAAGGGCCTGAAGCCGATAAGGAGCGCCATCAACAATGTGCAAGTGCTGGCAAGCTTTGGGATGAGGGGGGAGGGGGGGGGGGGGTGCATGTATATTGACCACGGAGTGTGGTAAGGGATGCTGTGTCATTACGCACGCTTGTGGCTGTGTTGCATGGTGTTTGGATTGTGCATATAAGCTTATCCTTTGGTCTGAGCACACGTATTTGTCTTCAGTTTGAACCGCCATTCTAGAACTACATAAGGGTCCTGCCCTGCATTTAGCATTTGGTGTGGTTTTAAGGACTTACGGCTGAATTTGGCAGCCTCACATTCGTGTATTAAGAATCAAGCACACATACCAGCCACATCTGAATCAACTGTCTGTGGTAATGTGAATGCTGCGCTCATCACCGGACCATTTTCACTCTCATTCACCGGGAGGGCGACACACATACACACACGGGAGGCGTTCATATTATCCAAGGCACAGAATGTCCAAAGGTACAGAATGTCCAAAGTACAGAATTTCCAAGGTACAGAATGTCCAAAACTCATAATGTCAAAGGCACACAATGTCCAAGATGAGAAATAACTTCCAAAATGGCGCAGGGTGGAAGGAGCCCGTTTCATCATAATGTCCAATGCACATAATGTCCAAGGTACAGAATGCCCAAAGTACAGAATGTCCAATGTACCCATTGTCCAAGGTACAGAATGTCCAAGAGCCAGGGCTTCCAAAATAGTTCTTGGAGCGGCCGCCAGGGTGTGAATAGTCGCCATTATTGGTAGGCAGCGTTGCTCCGCCCAGCGTCGGCCAAGCGCATACAGTCGACGCCAGTGCGAACAATACAAGCATGCGGTCGGGGGTCGCATAGCAGCGGATTTATTTCCCACGCTGGTGCAGAGGTGGTGTCGGATGTTGTTGGTCGGCGAGGCCGCGCTCGACTTGCAAGTGATCGTTGAGTACGAGACGAGTGCCGTGGAGTGGGGCGCTGGACACGCGCGGAGCTGCTGTGAAAGCGTTGCAGCGTTGCCCTTAGCCGGCGTGATATTTGTTGTTCTGTGTCTGACCGGGGGCGTGTTTGCTGTTTGGCCATAGCTTTATGCATCTAGAATCTCTTGTTGCAACTGTTGTTTATTCTAAGCGATCGCTGTCACGTTTTTACCACAATTAGCATACAGCGCCCAAAGGAGTAAACCTTGCAAGAAATGGGAAGTATGCGTATCAATAATTTATGCTTCCTATCGAGTTACTGGCCTGTTTCTGATCATTTATCACTGGGATCTAGGTCAAAGGTGTAACATATTACAAGGCACGCTACATTTCAAATCATAGGCTATGGTTCAATGAATAGCCATTTGTGGTCAAGATACTGCACATGATACCATTTAGAACAATTAGCTGGTACATCAACAGATTGGTGGAGACTTTTCATTGATGTGAATTCCCCACATCAATTTATTGGGTCTGTCAGGGGCGGTGCCAGGAGATATAAGTTGAGGAAAGGCTTTTCCAGAGGACTTCCTGAACAACATGGGGTCTCCTTTCAGAGGGGGGGGGGGGGGGGGGGGGGGGGGCTTCCAGGCCTGGTCCTTTTGAAGCGGGCACCGAGGCGTGTGACATGTGAGTCCTCATTGAACTGGATCGTGCATTAATATTCATGTAAATCAATGTCGACAAGAATAATCCAGAATAGGAGAGTGCGTAAATGTTTAACTGTGTTTAAGTCCAGTTTCAGTGCGTAAACGTGACACCGATCAAGCCGTGAACTAGTAGCCCTGAATGGGGGCCAAACGCATAAAAATGCGTCCAAGTTGTCAAAACATGGCCGTTGTCCTCTACGGCTGTCCATTCACTCCACCAGCCGGTAACCCATAAAGCAACGAAACAATTTTGCCGTTGACGAAGCAGCAACGGTGAGCTTGTCTCCCTAGCTGGGAAAGATGAGGGTCGGAAAAACCATGTTCGGAAGGCTCAATGCCCGAAAGATCTATACGTGGAATACCCACACTCGGATTGCTCACGCCCAGGAAACTTCGGGAGAACCATCTACTCTCACAGATGAGACCCTGAAAGGAAATGGGACAAATAGCAAATGTGGAGCGCTGAGGGCGAATGACAGGGGGACTCAAGCCTACCCACACCGTCACATGTGGGTTGGGCAGCACGCACTAACTGATTGGGCTATGGCGGCGTTTCTGCTACTTAAATTCCCAGCAGTCCAATAGGAGGCACTGATTAATCAGTCATGAGGTCCTGCCGGGCTGAGAGGTGGCTGTGCCTAGTTTCATGTATCTAGGAAGTTAGTCTGTAAAATGGGCGAAATCTGAGAACATCTTCGGTTTATTAGATATGCTCGCCCTACAAAGGAAGTCGGTGACACTGCCTCTGTTCATCGCATGAGAGCACACCCAGAAATATATCACTCGTTGAAAGAAAAAGGCAACGCTTACACGCATGTTAACTGTTCATGTTTCAAACAGTACCGTAACACACACACACACACACACACACACACACACACACACACACACGCACACACACGCACGCACGCACACACGCACGCACGATTTTTTCTCACAATTATGAAATCTATGCCAAAACACAGGCACGTCAGTATACCGGGAGACCCGTGGCTACGCCAATATTCTATGCCAACATTTCCAAAATTGTAGGACAAATCAACAGTTCCAGGTAGTACACGTGCTCACCTGTGAATAAGTTAACGCATAGCGCGCAACGCAAAAGGCCTGCGAATGATCGTAACTGTTGCAAATCTATGCAGATCCTGACAAGAAAAGTATTAAAATAATCAAGCATGCAAGCTTCTATATCCTAATGTAAGACGCACGGCACTATGATAAGGCTTGCATGAGAAATCGATGGCTAGGCCGGAAGGTTTCGATAGACTGTATCACATATCAGAAAGCAATTCGCTACAGGAAACCAGTATCAAAATCAATCAGCAGACAAGTATTGCTGAAGGTACCTTAACAAAACAACAGCGTTAACAATCAGTATTTCACGATGGTGCTTGCGAGTTCATCATCTGTCAACGTTTACCGATACGCAGCGATTCTTATATCCTTGGTGCGCGTTGTCTCATGCCGTTGCTGAAATGTGCACCTAAAAGTTTAAGTATGTTATAATGTGTACCATTGGTGCATGGATGTCGACTTCTTCCTCCCCTAATTGTGAGCGTACGCTCTCCGTGGATATGTGTCCCCAGGTGTTCATTAAACAAGCCTGAGTGTCGTGCATTATTCTTCTCGCATACAATGTCACTGGAAAAATATTATAAGACATTTTGTGTACATCCTGTGCGTACAGAACCATACACCATATATTGTGTAACCTGCTCTATTCTGTGCTTTTTACTTTCGGTCCATTGAGACCATCGGTGTAGGAACGGGGGACCATGGACCCCCCACTCTTCAAGGTGGCGGCTTGCGATGTTAACTGCCCCCCCCCCTCCACTTTTCAGATTAAGCTTGCATTTGGCTTACTTTTGCACTGCATATAACATGCATGCCGATTTACCTAGTTCACCAGACATTGCCCTTCAGATGCGTCATCTTTTTCGTTTGCTCATGGCCATCGCTTAGTGTTACAACCGCAAGGCCGCACGGGATGGAGACTGCAACGCCGGACGTCGAGGCTGTTGTTGCTATGACGTGGGAGCGCGCATGTTCAAGACCATGTTACGTAGCTTTCTTATCAGTAATCAGTTACGACTGGATCTTGAACACATTAAGACGAACATGTGCTAGCCATGTTAATACAAATTAGGAACCCCATTTCATCTACGATCTACCATCAGGGAGAGCTCAATATCTCTGAAGAACACAGAAAAATACGGAACTAAGGTCTATGTGACAATTATTGGACTATCAGCGGTAATCAGGGATATTTTTGCGTCAATGAGTGTTCCTGTTCTGATCCGGGGCTAACTGCGCGGGTCAGAAGGCGTTCCGTGTCAGGGATGGGACCAATGTGGTATGATACATCCTTCTAATGGCTTCCCGACCGACCAGGCGATCCCGCCCTGTGTCACCAGAATGATAGCCAGAAGACACCTTGTGATGGAGCGGAATGGCCCTCCAGCCCTTGATCGGAAACAGTAATGTACCCCTGATGTTCTACTCAAGAGGCCCTTACCCGGAAGGAAATAAGGATTCTCATTATTGTTGAGTAGAGTGGGGTCTCATTATTGTTGAGTAGGATGGGTCGAAATAATCTTTAAAAAACGAGCAAGTTCATGCCATGTTTGCCTGAGGACGTTCACTTTTTCAGAATGTACTAGTGAAGCAAATTAAGCAAACCCGAAAAATAGAGATCGTACCTTCGCTCTTCCAATTCAACCACCAGATTCCAGCCCCACTTCACGGCGCTTTGAGAGCAAATCCGTTCTTTTCATCAGTCAAAAAATTGCACACGTGAAATATGCGCTCAATGCTTTAAATGTACTTAAGAATATTTTAGAATACTTTTTCAGGAGCATCGTCATTTTCGTCCACCCGTTGGCCACAGCTTAGTGTCAGTTGCTAGGCCGACGTTGCGCAGCCTACGGGAACTGCAACGCCTGCTGTCGAGGCTTGTGTTTCTAATATTTTGGAGTGCGTATGCTCAAAATTACGTCACATAACTTGCATTAACATTCGATTACAGTGTTAAAAGGTAATCATTTGGACAAAACATGGTGGACGGAAATTTGTGTCGCATGGACAAATCTTATCATAACATGGTGGACGAAGGCCGCGGCTGAAAGGTAGCTACTGGGCTAACGCCCCGCAGATTGGTGTCGATGTTTTTGTTGCTAAGATTTGCGAGCGCGCATGTTAAAAATGCATGTGACACAAATTGTATCGCTTATAGATTCTAACTGGAGGGTGAACGTTTTTAGACAAACATGGCTTGGCCATGTTAATAAACCTTGTTGACCACTCGATCTGCAATCAAATTTTCATCTTTAAATTTGGATCAAACACATCGATCTACAATCTGCCTTCGCGATGTCCTCAAAGTCAGTAGAACTGAGATGACAATTCTGACAAGG